AAAGCAGTAATATTTCCAACATGAAACAGATCTGTTTGGAAAACCTGTGTTTCCAAAAGGTGATGTAGCAGTTTACCAGGGAATTATTCCAACTGGGACTGCTGGTGATCAGATCTTGCAACAGATTGAGGGAGGCAGAAAGTTCCTCTCTCTCTGATCCTCACCTGATCTTCACTACACTGAGTCTGTTGTGAGCACAGAAGAAAGTACTGAAGCAGGAGTTGCAGTGGGAAGAACTTGGCATTCTGGTAAAGGCTCTTGCCATTACTTGATAGGGAAGTGTCTTACCTTAGAGTTCATATCAGGCCTGAATTTCAGGTTGGCTGAAGCATGATGTTAGGAATCAGGGAAGGAATTATGGGTGTATGAGGGTGTTTAACATCCTGCAAGAGGTGGTAGAGAATGGTATTTTAAATAAGGTCACCTGATGCTTACTTAGGCACCAGTCCAGTAGTCTTTAGAGCTCACTGCATTCAGTGGCTGTATGGTGAGGTTACATCTTTACTGGTGTGTATTCCAAGTTCCAGAATAAGGATTTTTATAGCTGTTTTGGTAAAACTCCAGGTTTTAGTCCTGCAACAGGGGTCCAGGATGAATCCTGAGCACTGACATCTTATAGAGAACTTTCTCTTCTATCAGAAATTGATAGAATAAGTCAGTAAATCCACCTGCCAAGGCAGGGCTTGGCTCAGCCTAGTCCAGGGGTTGGAACTGGATGAGCTTTATGGTCCCTTCCGACCCAAACCAGTCTGGGATAGGAAAGAAAGAATTTTATATCTGTTCTGTTTCCATGTAAGCAACTCTTTATCTTCATTTGCAATTGAACTTAGTCCGAAACTGAGCTTAAAGAGAGCTGTAGCACAAGTGGCTGTGGTGAGTGGCAGCAGGGAGGAGGCTGGAGGATCCCTGTTCTGCTCCTGAATGCCTTTCATTTGCTGGCAGGTAATTTTCAGCCTTACTTCCATTTTCCAGCTAGTGAAAACCATGCCTTCTGTGGCAAAGGCCTTGAGATAGAGGTGACACAATCCCAGAGGCTGTATTTGTTTGCTGAGGTATTTAGTGACCTGCCTGGATTTTCTTCACTCTCCTCCTCTGCTTTGTTGTCTCTTGGAGACCACAGGAGCTGAAAGATCCCGGCTTAGGTTACAGTTGTGTTGGTTTAGTCCCTGCACAAACAGCCCTTGCCTCAAACAGCTCTAGTCTCCAAGGGCAAGCAGGGACAGGACTTAATCTTCTCATTTTCCAGCTCATAAAATGGCTTCTCCAAGGTCACATCTCAGTATCTCAGGTATTAGTTCCATAGCTTTAATGAAACTAGGAGTTGCTTTGAATCCTGGAGTAAAAAGACATATAAAATTAACTTTCAGTATCTTAGGTATTCTTAAATATGTTTTGTTGATCTCTGAATCAGAAGAAATCTGATTAGTATCAGCTTTGTTTAATGAGCAATGGCATCAGTACTTGCCATCCCTCTTACTTGTGCCAGTCTGAGTGGTGGCACAAATGTGTCCCCATCTGCAATAGTCTGCATCTGCAGTCAAAGCTGTGTCCTGAAAGAGCTTTCGTGGACTTAGGTTTGAGGTAGGGTCCCTTCACTGTACATGAAAATGATCCCTTCTGTCTTTCTGAAACCCATAGAATCCCAGGCTGGTTTGGGTTGGAAGGGACCTTAAAGCTCATCCAGTTCCAGTCCTGTGTCAGAGAAGGAGTTTCAGGGAAGGAAAGGGCACTTCATTCTGTGGGACAGTCCTCTGGGAGCCTTTCACTGCCATCAGGAAGGTTCTGTTCTGTTGCATGTTTTCTGCGGTTGTTACCTTGACTCTGGAGCCAATGCAAGAGCTAACCTGGGGGGTGCTGGTGGCATTTCTTAACCCAGTTTTACTGAAGGTACCTTAAGGATTATGGGTCTTACAGTCATTTGACATGATTAGGTTGACATGGTCTAGTGTGAAGTGTCCATGCCTATGGCAGGGGGCCGGAACAGGATGCTCCTAAGGTCCTTTCCAACCCAAACTATTCTGTGATTCTGTGACTGTTGTTTTACTTCCCTTGGTGGGATCTGGCACTGAAAAGAGAAAGAGTTGTACAAAGGCCAGGCCTGAAAATGGGGAGCAGCAATCCATTGCTGGCCTTCATTATCCTGGAAGTGCTTTCTACACATTAACCTGCAGCTTTTTAATTCCCTCATTGCCCAATACACCTATGTCATGTTTTACACCTTCCCTCCACTCAGTAGAGCACAGAGACCCTTCCTAATATGATTCAGGCATACACAAACCTGGTTTTGAAGTGAAAACAAGTGAGAGATTCTATAAAACTACACAGAAACAGCTGGAAAGGAAGTGTGTTCATCCCGTTATAGGGATGCTGTTGAGATGCTGATCCTTCTGACTCCTGTATGGAGAAGGGGAGGAAACAAGCAAAGAGTGTTGCACCCAGGTTAATGTCCTGTGGATTATTGCTGTAAAGCTGGCACCTCAATCTCTCATCTCTCCAGAACACAAATGGTCCTTGGCTTTTATAGAAGCATAAAGGGCTGCCTTAAAGGCTGAAGACAAATCCAGGCCCTGATAGGCATTGGCGTAGATATCACTGTATCCAAAGAGTCACAGTTTCTTACTGTGGATGAATTTGATCCACAAGTGAACACAGTTGTCCCATCAAATTCTGGTCAGCAGCTTGTCTTCTGCATCCTTGCCTTTCAGCTGTCACGTAAAACAACATTTGCAGCTGAATTCCATCCAGTGGAACAGTTTTGGAGTCTCTCCAGTATTCTGCAGAGAAGCAGAGGCAGGAATTGAGCTGCTGAGAGGATCCAAATGCAGGAGGAACTCTAACCCTGCAAAGTGTACAGTTAGCCCTAACGCCCTTGCTTTTTCGTACTTCTTTGAGCCAAGCATGCCTGTGCTGTCCTGCTCTTGTGAGAACCCCCTTGCAGCCCTGTGTGCAGTTCTGGTGTCCTCAACATAAGGAAATGGAGCTGTTGGAGTAGGTCCAGACGAGGCCATGAGGATGCTCAGGGGCTGGAGCAGCTCCCGTATGGAGCCAGGCTGAGAACACTGGGGCTGGAGAAGAGAAGCTGCATGGAGACCTCAGAGCAGCTTCCAGTGTCTGAAGGGAGCTACAAGGATGCTGGAGAGGGGCTCTTCATCAGGGACTGTAGGGATAGGACAAGGGGTGATGGGTTCAGACTGAAACAGGGGGAGTTCAGGTTGGAGATAAGGCAGAAGTGATTTATGTGAGGGTGCTGAGGCGCTGGCACAGGGTGCCCAGAGAAGCTGTGGCTGCCCCATCCCTGGCAGTGCTCAAGGCCAGGTTGGACACAGGGGCTTGGAGCAAGCTGCTCCAGTGGAAGGGGTCCCTGCCCATGGCAGCAGGTTGGAACTGGATGATCTTCAGGTCCTTTTCAACCCAAACCAGTCTGTGATTCCATGCCCTGCAATGGAAACTTGTGATAAATTAGCTCTGTAGTCTTCTCTTAAAGTTGGGCATGGAAAATAAAAAGGCATTTGTTAGAAGATTGAATTATGTGTAGGATATCTGCAGCTCTAATGAGCTTAGGCTTTCTGTGCTACAATAAACTCTTGCCTGTATCTCCTGCAGTGTGTGGTTTTTTCCCTAAGAGCGTATTTCTTGCTATTTGATCAGCTTCTCTCTTGCAGATGATAAAATTATCTGCAAAGATTTGTAGCTGATGCTGGGCCATAAATAATATTTAGCTGCAGGATTAACATTTGCAGGCATAGATCATTTATGGGAAAAGGAGAGGGTTGGAGGAGGAGGCTGGCAGTTTCTGAGTATCTCCATGAAGCAGAGAGATGGGATTCAGGATAGAGCTCAGCTACGTGACCATTTCACAAGGTGTGCGTCTGCTCAGCGCTGTTGAGCTGCTTTGATAGTGTTTATCTGGGGGAGGTTGTAAGATAAAGACCTGAGGAAATGGTGACCTGGGGCAGGCAGCTTTGTCATAGAGAGACAGACAGGTGTTCAGCTGGGCTGGAAGCTCTGTGTGCTGGCAGCTGGGTTCCCCAGTGCTGTGACATGCTCAGGCTGGGCTGAGATCTGTGGAAATGCTCAGCCCCTTTCAAGGCACTGGAGGAAGGGCCAGTTTTTAACAGGTTTGTATTGCAAGGACAGGGGTAAGGGGGTGATGGGGTTAAACCTGAACAGGGGAAGTTCAGGTTGGAGATAAGGCAGAAGCTCTTCCCTGTGAGGGTGCTGAGGCACTGGCAGAGGGTGCCCAGAGAAGCTGTGGCTGCCCCATCACTGGCAGTATTCAAGGCCAGCCTGGATGAAGCCTCGGGCAGCATGGTCTATGGTGAGGTGTCCCTACGCATGGCAGGAGATTGGAACTGGATCATCTTAAGGTCCTTTCAACCTAAACCATTCTATGACTCTACCAGCAGCTTCCGGTTCACCTTTCAGAGCCAGATTATCCAAAACAGGCCAGAATTCAGCACTCAGGACTGCTTTGAGAGTCTGTCCACAGACAGTTGCTGAAATGGATAGAGCAGTCCCCTCTAACTTGGCTTCAGACGGCAAATCACAGAATCCCAGACTGGTTTGGGTTCGAAGGGACCTTAAAGCTCAGCCAGCTCCAACCCCTGCCACGGGCAGGGACCCCTTCCACTGGAGCAGCTTGCTCCAAGCCCCTGTGTCCAACCTGGCCTTGAGCACTGCCAGGGATGGGGCAGCCACAGGTTCTCTAGGCAAAAGGGACAGAAGGAGGCTGTGGTCACTGCAGGCTTGCAGCAGATACAAGGTCCATCCTCAAGTGGGGATCCACTGGCTAACACAGATGTAGGCAGTCCTGGTCAAGAGGGAGGTGCGTGGGCCTCAGTCAGCCTATCAGCCTCAAAGGTTTATCTTGGTGTGATGAGTGTGGATGTGCTGAGCACCCAATTGGTTAGAGGTCATGCTGTGATAGATGCTGTACAAATGCATGCCTGAGCACCTTATTTACAGCTTTCTCTTTCTTGATCTCTGTTTCTCTGGTGCAGGTTCCTCACCACATGAAGACTTTACCCTACTACAGTTATGACCAGCCGGTGATCGGATACTGCCAAGCTCATAAGCCTCTCCATGTAAATAAGGGCTACGATGCCATGTCCCGGGAGCAGGCTGAGACAACCAACCTGGAACTCAGTCGAGACCACAGCTTCATAGCTACAATCGCACGTTCGGCTGCTCCAGCCATTTACATTGAGAGAATACCAAACTAACAGTGGAGACAAGCTCTTCAGGGGCAGTGTGGGAGTTCTTTTGAGGGGACTTTTCATCTCAGAAGAGACCAGGGCAAGACACTCAAATCTACCATTCCAGTTACAAATGTTCCAACAGAGACAAAGGGAAGGGGCTGAAGCAACCTCCGCAGACTGTGCAAGCGCGACCTTGCAGGACCCACTGAGAACTTCAGGATTTTCTTTGCTTTAAACTTTCAAACAAATTCCTCAATGTAAATATTAAAGAGAGATTGTCAAGTTCTTATTAAAACAAAACAGAGAAAAAAAAATAGATTTCACTCTAGCTACATAAAGGGATGGATTTAAGAGTTTTGTTTGTATATTTGATTTTTCTACATTGCACGGTTCCAGGGAAGGAGAACCACAGGTAAAAACAAAAGGGGAGGGCGAGGGCTTGGGTAGGGTGGGTCAACCATGGTCCCTTCTTCAGTGGTTATTACTCAACAAAGATGTGTCTCATATTTTTTGTTCTTTTTAAAGCAACGACAGAGAAATCTCTATTTTCTGGTTTTTCCTTTGGGGCTTTGGTTTCTTTTTGGTTGGTTTTGGGGTGTTTTTTTTAGTGGTCAAGCACTAATATTTCAACCTTCAGACATGGGCATTAAAGCTTATGTTGAACCAAAAGGACATTGGCAATTGATGCAGCAGAAACAAAGAAACTCGGGTGCATGTACATTTAAGACACAGGCTGTACACTATGGAGGGTGCTTTTGATTTTGCCTATCTTCATTGTGCTTCATTGTTGACACTATAATTCCTTTTCGGGCTCTAAAAAAAAAGGGGAAAACATGGAACGGAATAACGACTCCTATTTCCAGTCCAGCGGTGCTTGTTGAGCAAAATTAATGGACATTTGGGAACCAAAATGGAAGTGCTGTGCTTGGAATGGATCAGAAGAAAAAATCTTTTCAAGCAAAAAGAGTATTTGGTGCAACTCACTGGCTGACGCCATTTCTAAACCACAGGAGAATGTGTAACATTGGGTTTTGGTTTTTTTTAATTAATTATTATGATCAGTTAGTTTTTGTGTAGTTTTTATCAATAAAATGACAACAACAACAAAAGTGGTGGAAAAAAAAAACAACAAAAAATAAACATATGATTTTGTGGTTGGGACACCACAGCCAAGCTACTGTTTGAATGGTTTCTCTGCCTGTGTGACCCTGTGGCTCCGTGGCCAAGGGGAGCAATGCTTTGTCCTGCTTCACCTCCAGCCTGGCTCTTAGGAGGAGCTCAAGAATTGTTTTGAGGTGTAAGAAGCTCAATTTATTTGGTTTACGTAGGAAACACAAGGTGGTTTCAAAAGAACAGAGGGCTGGAGCAGCTCTGCTGTGGAACCAGGCTGAGAGAGCTGGGCTGGGTCAGCCTGGAGAAGAGAAGGCTCCTGAAGGGGAGACCTTAGAGCAGCTCCAGTGCCTAAAGGGGCTGCAGGAAAGCTGGAGAGGGGCTTGGGACAAGGGCCTGCAGGGACAGGCCAAGGGGAATGGCTTGAACCTGCCCGAGGGGAGACTGAGCTGAGCTCTTAGGCAGAAGCTCTTCCCTGTGAGGGTGCTGAGGCGCTGGCACAGGGTGCCCAGAGAAGCTGTGGCTGCCCCATCCCTGGCAGTGTTCAAGGCCAGGTTGGACACAGGGGCTTGGAGCAAGCTGCTCCAGTGGAAGGGGTCCCTGCCTGTGGCAGGGGCTCCCTTCCAACATAAACCACTCTGTGATTGTATGATACGGGCCCGTGGAAGGGGAAGAGAGAGAAGAAACTTTCTTTATTATCAAAGTTTGTTGTTTCTTCACTCAAAAGTCAGGCTTTTCAGATGCAAACCCCACGCTGAAGCTAAAGCAATTCAGATTAGAGCATAAGCTGTAAGTTTTTAACTGGAGGCTGAGTGATACAACTGGAGGATTTAGGATATAATGAATTTTGTGATAGTTTCAGGTGTTTATATTGGGTGTTCTTATGAGAAATACACTTGGCCACAAGGTAAGGGCTTAATGAATTTCTGGAAGTACTGAGTCTTGTTTCACATCTATGATATGATATTATATTGTTTTCTATGTTTCCTTGCCTGAAAAAAAACCTCTTTTTCTCTGAAAGGAAGGATATGTCTGGATGTACCCATTCTGTGTGCTAGGCAGCTTGCAGGGAAACCGGGACGTGCAAAGTCAACTTGATGCATCAAAGGTAACATATTTAGAGCTCAGTGTTAGACAGGAAATGAAAAGAAAATGGAATGAAGGCCTTCGTGATTAGTTTACAGCCAGCTCTGTTAGACATGGGGATATCTGTCAGCTTTAGCTGTGCTACAGATGGAGGGAGAAAGCTGCTTGAAGCACTGGTTTCCTTCAAATTGAGTTTAAAACATTGACCCGCAGCCTATTGAGCTGAAACTGGAACAACTCCCATCGATTCCTGTTAGCTCCATATCAGCAGCACGCCACATTTCCATGAGCATCACAAGTGTAATGGCATTCCCATGCTCCTAAAAGGTGTGGATGGTGGTCATTAAAGACAGTTGTCTAATTCTGGTTTTACGAGGGCAGTTATGTATCTGCCAACCTGATACCAGTAAAATCAGAGAAGGAATTGCAAGCAGGAGTATTTATTGTCTTTTAATATGTATTTTCCTTAAACCCTCAGCTGCTGAGGTCATGGGAATAATGGAGAATACCTGTGTGATTGCTAATTCCAGTTGTAATCTGAATGAATGCAGCTTTCCCCCAGGCTTGTGAAAACCAAACTTTGCAGCTCCTCAAAGGGAAGGTAAAATGAACCAAACTCCATTTTCTCATTTCCTGGGTTCAGAATGATGTTAGCATTGGTCTGGGGGATGTTTGGAACTGGCACTAGACTCAAATCACAGACTTTCTTTGCCATTGCTGCTGGCCAAGGAGAACAAATACATGATTGTAGGCGAAGTCTCCTGGATCAGTTCATGCTCCTGCCTGAAACATTGCTGGGTTTCTGCTCTTTATACATTGATGCCACTTTGGGCAAGTACCCCATTACTTTTCTTTGTGTTCTTGACAGTTAAGGAGGTAATGCTCCAAGAGTGGTTTGAAGGCATGAAGTTATACCTTGCTTAAGTGCTAAAGGTCATGAAGAGCAAAATACTTACGTGTGGATTGCCTTAGATCAAAGCAGAAATCACTGCAGCATGAGCTGAGCTACCTGACCTAACGTGGGTTGTGATCAAGCTCAAAGGGCTCTTTAGGAGCCCATCTGAGACTCTGGGTCTAACAGAAATTGAAATCTAAGCTGCAATAGCTGCAATAGCTGCAATTAAAGCTAAGGCAATTTGATTAAGGACTTGCTATTCAGCTGTGATGCAAAGCCCAAGACTGTCAAGTGTTGCTCTCCACTCTGTTCTTATGAGTTTCATACTTGGTTTTTGTTTTTAAAGTGTCAGTTCCTGGAATCCTGTGATTGTATTACAACTTCAGCTTGAAAATATGTCCCACCTCTTCATAGAGAAGGTCTTTCTGCTCCTCTTCATAGGGAAGTGACTGCTCTGAAAGAGAGGACGGAGCAACCCACTAATGTCCAGGTAAGACCCAAGAAAGACCTTTCTGCAGTGTCCCTATCAATTCTTCTCCTTGCAAACAGCAGCCAGGGCTCATTGCTGAGTGGTTTGCTTGTGGTGGCATCTTCATGGTCATGGCACAGTGAGTACCAAGCGCTCCCAACACTGCTGTGTCCAGACAAGCAACAGAGTGAGGCTGACCTTCAGACCAAAGCTGATGAACTTTGTGTTGTGTAGAAGACAACTGATGGGACCAAATAACAGGTTCTGGAAGCCTTTGGGGGAGGAAAATTGCCTGCTGCCTGTCTCTCTAGCTAATAATGATGTTCCAAATATCAGTGGGGCACTGAAATCCCAGTGTCCTAGTAATGCTGGGGGTATGATCTGCAACCATGGCAAAGAAGCCTGTAAAAGCAATCTGCCACTTGGAGTTACTGCCAGGGTTGGCAATATTTTGCTCTGAGATTTAGAAATCTTTTGGAATAAGCTGCCCTTTCCCATAATGAATTGAAAGTGTTCTGAAGATTGATAAACACAGTTTCAGCTTGACTCCCCACCGGAAAAACAGTCCCTGAAGGAATTTGGCATGTTGTACAGGGGAAATCTAGTGCTTTTATAGGTATTTGTAAGTTGCATGAAGATTTAAGAGCCTAATGTACTGTGTTATTAATTTTTAGGGGTGTTTTTTGTGGTTTGGGCTCCTTTAAATGTCACTAGTCACTTTTTCAAACCTATATAAAGGGAAGGGGTGGGGGGAGAAGGCTGTAAGTCCATCAAGCTGGAACCTTGCCTTAAATTAAGAGAAAGAAATGACCTGTCTGATGCGATTACCCATGCACAAGCATTGGAATGGCCTTCTCCAGATCATGAAGAGCAGTAAAAAAAGGTCTAACAGACTTTGAGTTTGGGCTGGTTAAAGGAAAGAATTAAAACTTCTCTTTGCTTCCCAAAAAACAGGGGGAAAACCAGATTTTAGGGACACGTAAAGTGCTCCCCAGTGCCCTGAAGATGTTCTTTCCGATCGCCATAGGGTCCTGCTCATCACTGGAAAGATGAGCTTTGATTATCATTACTTCAGCAAGGTCAGTATCAATGGCAACAGCACTTTCCTTAAAATTGCAGCCAGGCTAACTGCATCGTGGTAAGAGTTAAACAGAAAGGGTTAAGTAGATAGGTTAAATGCAAGAAGGAAACAAAAAAACCACAGCAGTTTTGGATCCTAAATGGAGTAGCAGTACTAAATGATCCTTCCTTTGCTTCTCAGGCATTCGTTTCACTAGTATTAATGCCCATTATTTGCTCTGATGCCCTGGTGGCTGGCACTTTACTAATATGTAGGCAGGTTAAAGTAAATTAGTCTACAGAAGAGAATAATATCAGTCATTACGGGAGTCAAGGGACACATTACACCTTTGTCATTGCTATGCTGAGACATATTCTACCATGGCAAAAATAAAACCATGTTTGAGGCAGGCAGATCACAGGGTTCTCTCCCACAGACCCGCTGCCAAGCAGCCCTCCAGTGCTGGCTCAGCACTTCTGAGGTATTCAAGGGACCATAGAGACGGATGTGGACACTATCTGCCAGCTTCCAAGACACGATGAGCTTCAGTGGCTTTGAGATACATCACCCTAGGGACTTTTGACAAGGGCATGCAGTGATAGGACAAGGGGGAATGGCTTTAAGATGAAAGAGGGGAGATTCAATGAGCTCTTAAGCAGAAGCTCTTCCCTGTGAGGGTGCTGAGGCGCTGGCACAGGATGCCCAGAGAAGCTGTGGCTGCCCCATCCCTGGCAGTGCTCAAGGCCAGGTTGGACACAGGGGCTTGGAGCAAGCTGCTCCAGTGGAAGGTGTCCCTGCCTGTGGCAGGGGTTGGAACTGGAGGAGCTTTAAGGTCCCTTCATCCCAAACCAGGCTGGGATTCTTTGATTACTTGGGTGACTTGAAATCAAGTGAGCAATATATATATGATTTTGTGTTTACTTCTGTTGCATGATTGAAGTACAGATAAGGCAAGTTTTCTGAATAGCTACAAATAAGCTGCTAAATGTATTCTTGCTTCTTTTAGTAACTTTTGTATTTTTTTCTCTAGGAAGTATCCAGAATCTGGCAGAAAAGGAAGAGAATCATCCCAAACTCAGAGGCAGCTGAACCATCATGCATCTGCAAGGTAGCTTTGAGTAACTCAGGAGTTACTGCCTCATGGGGGCAAGATGCAAATGATGAGCTGCCACCTCTCCAGGTATTAGACCTTATTCCTGTTGCGTTCCTGTGGATATTATGGAGAATGTGTCTGGCCTTGACCTTGGTGAAGCACTGGCCTTTAAGACAGCTTGTTGCATTAGTCCCTGTTGATTCAGTGGTGTGGGGTTCAAGTGTTTCTGCTTTACTGTGACCTGGGGAATACCTCTTCTTTAATTCCTTCCTACCTGTTAGCCTGCCTCACTTCAATTGTGAGCTTTTTGGGACAGAGCCTGCATCTTCTGTCCAGCCTTGATCTCAGTGGTGGCTTTTGGTGCAGGCAAAACAGAAATAGAGTCAAACAAGCCCTCTGTGTCTTCCCCCCGTCCCCCTCACCCCCCTGTGATATTTTGTGTATTGAAAAGGCAAGCAAA